GGCTTTCTGTGTAACAGTTCTAGCTGTCCTGGAACTTGCTTTGTAGAAGAGGCTGGCCTCGAACTCACAGAGATCTGCCTGCCTCTATCTCCCGAATGCTGGGATTAAAGGCGTGCGCCGACACCGCCACCACTACCCAGCAAGAAGCTAGGATTCTTGAGAACCTGGAGCTCAACAATTCTGGCTAGTCTAGCTAGCCACCTCTCCAGGGCAATAGTCTCTGCCTCCCGAGATCTGGGATTACAGGTAGCTACTACTAGACCTTTTATGAGGGTTCTGGGGGATTTGAACTCTAGTCTTCATACTTGGGCAGCAGCCACTTTATCCATTGAGTTATCCTCCCAGCCCATGCTGGATTTTTTGTGCATTCTGGGGACTGAGCTCGGGTCTTCCAGCTTGGCAGCAGGAGCACATACTTGTTTTCCTGCTCTCTTCTTCTGATGCTCTTTGGAACTTGGGAGGCGATGATATAGATGTTTCATTCAGGGCTGAGAAGCCAACAACAATCATTTATTCTCAGTACTCTGAGCAATTATGTGTCTCTGTATTAACTAACATCACATACTATGAAACAAATTAATATATATATATTTTTTTTCTTGTGAGACAGGGTCTCTCTATGCAGTCCTGGCTGGCCTTGAACTCACAGAGATGAGCCTGCCTTTGCCTCCTGAGATTAACTGCACATTTATTTAACTGAGGGGAATAAATGATAAAAATCTGAAAAACAAAGGTTAAAATCAGTATCGGCCAGCACCTTTGGGCGATACCTTGGAGCTCAGCCACGTGGACCAGGCTTTCCCCAGGACCTTAAAGATAGGAGGCCGTCTGGACTGCTCACCCGATCGACCCAGAGAGGGGCGGGGCCGGAAGGAGGGGCGAGGTTTCGGCCGGCAACTTGGGGGCCTCTGGACGCTCTGGCAAACACCAGTCTGCACTCGATAGCCGGAAGTTGTCTTGCCTTCGCCTCTAGGAAGCGGAAGTGCAGGGGTGGCTGGCAACTGGGTTACTGCTTTGAGAAACCGGCTTGTGAGCCGCGGCGGGAAAGGCGCGTGTCGGTTTCTCACTGGCGCAGCCTCCACCGCGGTCGTCGCTGTCCCGCCCTGCCCGGGCGTCGTTGCTAGCACCGGAGTGGACGAAGCGCGGCCCGGGCATGGGCAGCCGGGGGGATGCGAACGCCGCGGGTGCCTCGGCTGCGCGTTGGGTGACAGGTACCTCTGGTGGCGTGGGGAGGCCTCGGAAACCGGAGAGGGGCCAGAGAGGGAGGCGACCGTGAGTCGGAGTCACCTTGGGCTTCCTCGTCTATGCCGACGCGGTTTCTCCTCCAGTGTTCTCCTCTTTGCGAGCGCCTCAAGTTGTCCCCAGCGGTCTTCGCCGTGCGAGTGGCGGCGGGGGCTCTCCCCAGGGAGTGGGTGGGGTTTGAGGGTGGGGGGGGGGGGGAGGGGGCCCCGGGAGAGGAAGTGCCCCCAGGAATTTAGACCAAGCCTGACCCTAAGTAGCTTGAGCACCAGCACTTGGCAACGAGTTGGTGTTTTTATAGGTTTCTGTTTCCCCTAAATGAAATCGGGTGATGCACCTTGGTTGTCGTTTTCTGTGAGTGATAAAAATCTCTTGGAATGAAATTGGACGATCCACTTCACTTGTAGCCTGTGACCTGCCAGCAGAAGACATGCATGCATCTCCAATACATTACGGACCTGAGCTCTACCCGTGGCTTGGCTTGGCGGAACTCGCTCTTGTTCTGCGTTTGTTGCCAGGTTGGAGAAGGAGCGTGATTTGCTTGTCCTGAGACTTGGGATCTCACCCTTACCGTGCCTTGGAAACATCTGTGCACTTACAAGCCTATTTTAGTATAAAGTTCTTTCTTCCCTAGAAATGTCCTGTACATTGGCAAAAGCATGAAGACATATTTTTATTTGTTTGCTCCCCTTCCCCGCTTTGGAGATAAGGATCTCACTTAACCCTGACTAGCCAGGGGACTAGAGGCCTGGCCAGCCAGCACCGGGCTTGCTAGAAGACATTTTAAAGAGCTATTTAACTGTACCAAACTGGAACAGATTGTAGCCTTTCCACTTGGCTTGTTTTGCTCTTGGTAAACTTAGCTGAAACTTTCCTATTTTAAATTAAAATATTTATTTATGTAGTTTTTGTTCTGTGTGTGCAGGGCAACTTTGTGGAGCTGGTTCTCCCCCCACCTCTGTGTGGGTTTCAGGGATCAAACTTGGGTCACCAGGCTTGCATGACAAGAGCCTTAACCCACTGAGAGCCATCGTGCTAGAATGAGAGAGACAGACAGACAGACAGACAGACAGACAGACAGACAGAGAGTTAGAATTGGGGGGGGGAGAGAGAGACAGAGAGGAAGGAGAGAGAGAGAGAGAGAGAGAGAGAGAGAGAGCTGGTGTGTGTGTATGTTATGGTGTGCAGGTGGAGATCAGAGGACATTGTGAGTCTGGGGATTGAATTCAGGTCATCAAGCTTGGATAGCAAGTGCCTTTATCCATTGAACCATCTCCCTGGCCTAATACTTATTCGAGGACGTAAACAACACTTTGAATAGTAGCAGGGTATCTTAGTGAACATTTAACTACAAGGGAATGGAACTATGGACACATTTCTGTTGGAACTTCTTTGCAGGGATCTAATCATTTTCGTTCAGATGGCTAGTAACTACTTGGAGTTGAAAGCAAATTTATGTGATCCACAGTGAACGATTACTGTATAAATTAGGCATAATTTCTTCTCACTTAGCTTGGATGTGTCCTCTTATTTTTCCTTGCTACTATTGAACATGCTGAAGTTCAGTCTGTAGACTTGGAGGTTTTTTTTTTTTTACTTTTTTCTTTTTAAGAGTTTATTAACTCTTCTTTAGTTTAAAAATGATGAAGTATTTAGGTCTGTGGTGGTGCACTCCTGTAGTTCCAGCACTTGGAAGGGTAGTAGAGGTAGTAGGATTTGGAATTCAAGGTCATCCTCAGCTACATAGCAAGTTAGAGGCCAGCATGGGTCATAACAAGAACCTGTCTTGAAAGAGAAAGAAGGAATTTGGTGATAACTTAAGAATGAATCACCATGCCTGTTCTGCTTTCCAGAAAGTGAAAATATTGACATGCACACCTATTACTTACAGTTTTTATATTTTGTTGTGGGTCAGTGAGCAAGCTTTAGTTTAAATGCTCTGGGAGCTCACAGATGGTTGATAGTAGATTCGGGCCTGGAACTGGTTAGAATGCTTGCTGTTTACCCATCATGCTGCCAGCGTTGCTCCTTGCATTGTTGCTCCTTCCGTTGCTGCCACTCGAAATATTCATCTTTACAAGCAGCACATAAGGACCATGGGTCCAGAATGGCAGTGGAACTTACAAAGTGATAGCATCTTCAAACAAAAGAGTACTTCAGTGAAGTTCTTACCTGTTTGTTTCTCTGGACAAATCTCTCTGGTATCACTTTGGAGGTCAAGTGTGGGATCAGGTTGGCAAAGCTACTCTTTAATGTGTAGCTTTCATCTTGTTCCCATTTCCAGTGGTGCTGTGTTTCTCAAGGATATATACTTTCTCTGAAAAAATATTGCAAGCTAGGGCAGGAGAGATGATGGCAGCAGTTAAGATTATTTACTTTTCTAGCAGGGGACCTGAGTTCTACTCTCTGCACTCACAACAGACAGCTTACAACCCCCTGTAACTGTGGTTCCAGGAGATCCAATGTTCTCTGGTCTACTTGGGCACCTGTACACATATGGTATACATTAAATTCACAAATCTTTAAAATATATTAAAATATTGCAAGAATACCTCTGGGTATGTAGCCTCTCAGTTTTTTGTTTGTTTGTTTGTTTTTGTTTTTTGTTTTTCGAGACAGGGTTTCTCTATGACTTTGGGGGCTGTCCTGGAACTTGCTCTTGTAGACCAGGCTGGTCTCAAACTCACAGAGATCTGAGTGCCTCAGCCTCCCGAGTGCTGGGATTAAAGGCATGCCCCACCACCCCCTGACTAGCCTCTTACTTTTATCCTTCTTATAATCTTGTCTTTTTACCATTTTGCTTTTTCTTGGTGTGTTTGGGAGGTGTATTTACTGGGTATGTGGAGGCCTGAGGTCACTGATGAGACTTTTCTTCGAAGAGGTGGGCTGGAGAGATGGCTCAGTGGTTAGGAGCACTGGTTGCTCTTCCAGAAGACCCATCTTTGATTTCCAGCACTCACATGGTGACTTATAACCGTCTACAGCCAGTTCTGGGGGTCTGACACCCTCTTCTGGCCTCCTCAGGCACCAGGCACAAATGATAACACATATAGACAGGCAGATAAAACACCAGTGCATCTAAAAAAATAAAAATATTCTTAGAAATAAAAATGAACACATCTATAAAAAAGTCTTCATTAGTTACTCTATTGAATTACCTTGTTTGTTTTTAAGACAGGGTTTTATCATGTAGCCCTGGCTGTCCTGGAACTCACTCTGTAGATCAGTGTGGGCTTGAACTCACAGAGATCCACCTGCTTCTGCCTCCCAAACACTAGGATTAAAGGCTTAGGCTTTCACCACCACCACCTGGCTCCTGGCCTGGCTTTTCCTTTTCCTTTTGTGGCACTGTTTTGGAATGGGAATCATGCTGTGCTAGTCAAGTGTTCTGCCACTGAGCCACAGTTCTAAGGATGCTGGCCTCTATATAGCTTGGGGTAGGGGGTGTGTGTTTGATTAAGGAAGTTCTGTTGGTAGGTTTCTAGCATGAAAACTGAGGTCAATAAAGAACTGAAGAGGTTTTCTGCAGTGGTCTGGATGCCGTCTCTGAGAATGTCAGTTTGCTTGGAGAGCTGGTGTGAGCCAGAGGCTCTATGCTGCTTCCTAAGAAGCTGGATTTCCTACTTTGTAGATGGGAGAGCCTGGCATGAGACACTACTGGAGTCTTTGCCATTGCAGACCCAGTCTTTGAGTTCGTTACATTTGAAACTCACTACATTATTCCCGAGAGCTAAGAAAATGAAGAGCCGTAAAGTGGGTGGCTTCTGATGGCAGATTCATTGTCTTCCAGTATTTAGGCTACAAGTCCTCAGTTGAGGTGTGACAGCACCCTATTCCCTCTGAAATAATAAGGTGGGGGGACTTTAGCTTGCCTATTTCCGTCTCTAGTAGCATTAGACCCCTTGACTTGCAGTATAGTTTCAGTGTTTACTTCTTTCTTCACTGGTACTCTCTCTGGGTCTGTCCACCCCTCTCCCTTTCTTAACACAAGTGGTACTGGGTTATTGTACTAATGACTACTCTAATGACCAAAATTTTACCACCTCGTAAAGAGTGTCTCCAAGTCATTCTGAGATAGAGAGGTTATGACTGTAACATACTCCCCCACTCCCTAACCCCCACCCCCGCTTTTTTTGTAGATTAGGATTCAGCCTATAGCACTACTAGTCATTCGTATCTCATCTGTCTTAGCTTTCTTTACCCTCATACTTTGTCAAGTTGCATACAGCCTGCTGTGTGATCTCTGTGTGGTATCACTCTTCAGGAAGGGGAGTGGTACCCCTGTAGGAAAGATTGTAGCCAGCTTTAGCTCTTTGGCTTTCCTTGTTCCAGGTACTCAGCACTGTCTTTTGGGACATCAAAAGTGCTGTTTGTTGAGAAGCATTTTGTTTCTGTACCTTTACTGTTACTTTGTGTCCTTAAGTATTAATGTTCTCTTGTGCTTCCTTGTGAAATTTTAACATTACCTTCTCTTCTTTTTCCCTTTGTAGGGTTTTGTTACAACATGGGACTTCTGATTGTGCTGGCTTCACTGTGCCTGTTTTCTTTGGTAGAGGCCAACTCAAAAGCCATTACAACCTCTCTTACCACAAAGTGGTTTTCTGCTCCACTGCTATTGGAAGCCAGGTGAGGAGATATTCTCTTCTGTATAATGGAATATTACAAACTTAGTGTCTGGTAGTAAATGAATACTCAGTATTGAGCTTACACTTTTCATTTGCACGTGTTAAGTGTCCCTTACGATACCCACAGTGCTCTGTACAGTGTAAGGACTCTGAGGATGCAGACTCTGTCTGCCAGCTGCACAGGACTGATCCATAGGCAGGTTTAGGAACATTGCTTATAAGAACAATACCCTAGGATAAGAGAATGGGGGACGTGGAGGAGGAAGGAGCTGAAGAAGCCACAGGTCTACTTTGTTTTAAGCTGGTCCGCTTCTGTTCTTCATTGCAGTCTCCCAAATCTGGGTACTACCTTAAATTTGGAGGTGATTATTATTATTACTTACTTACTTTTGTAGTAAGTCAGATCTTACTAATTTGTATCAATATATATACACACATTTAAAGTTTTGTTGTTGTTGTTTTTTTTTTTAACCAACCACATAGTATTCCTTTGTGTAACTATATTGGTCCTTGGCATGACATAAACTGATAGGGTGAGGAGCACATGCTTGTAATCCCAGCATTTGAGAGGTTGAGGCAGGAGGATCAGGAGTTCAGGGTCATCCTTTGAAATATAGTGAATTCAAAATCAGCCTGGGATACATGCAACAATGATAAAAAAAGAGTTATCTTAAAGCTGGGAATGGGCAAGTTGTCCAGACACTATCTGAAAATGTCATCATCCAGCAGCAATAGCCATAAAAGAGGGGGAGTATAACTTAGTGGGTAGAATGCTTGCGTGCCTGTCAGTTGTGAGCCCTAGGTTCGATCCTCAATGCTGCCCCCACCTCCAGTAAATGGAGGGGTTAAGGTAGGAGAACTGTATGTTTGAGGCTGGACTGGGCTACATAGTGATTCTCTGTCAGATAAGCAATCATTAAGACTTAAAGCAATAGTTAAGACTTAAATTGATAAAATATGCAATAAATGACTTTTAAATAATCCTTGGTTTTTTTTTTTGTTTTTTTTGTTTTTGTTTTTGTTTTGTTTTAAAGACAGGGTCTCATGTATCACAAACTTGCCTCAAACTTACTATGTAGCCAAGGATGATCTTGAACTTCTGATCTTGCTGCCACCTACTCAGTGTTGGGATTATAGTCATGTGATCTCATGCCTGGTTTATGTGATATTGGGGATAGTGGACCCAGGATTTCCTGCATGCTAGACAAGCACTCCAACATTCGAGCTGCTTCTCTAACCCCTAAAAGATTTTTTTATGGTACATACCATGGAGTTGAGAAACCATGTCTAATACTATCAGCTCCAATTCCTCAATTTTTGGCCAGTTTCTTTCATCATCATTGAGTATTTAGGCTATGATGTTTCTGTCATCAATTTCCTCATCATGAACATCTCCCATTTCATGGTGTCTCTGGCAATTTGCCATTTGAGTTGTTACTTTTAGGCCTTTTCTCCAGTAGGTGTTTGCAAACAGGTAGTCAAGGTAATGGGCCTTGCAGGCAACTCCAAAAGAAGCCTTGTGTATTTGTATTTGTATCATTCTGCAGTTACCTTTAGAGCAGTGGTTCTCATCCTGTGGGTCGAGTGACCCTTTCACATTGGAAAACAGATATTTACGAAAACAGATATTTATGTAAACAGATATTTACATTACGATTCGTAACAGTAACAAAATTGTAACAGTGAAAATAATTTTATAGCTGGGGTCACCACAAAATGAGGAACACCAGAAAAGGGTTACAGCATCAGAAATGTTGAGAACCACTGCTCTAGAGCTAGCTGAGACCACCAATCTTCCTCCTGTCTGCGATGATCAACACTCTCTGGATGAGGGTGAAGAGCTCTATGTACCAGGGCATGTAGCTGCTGTTACAGACCTTGTTTTCCTATCATCTAGCCCTGAGGGACTAAAAACATTCCTGTGTATATTTTTAGATTGTGCCTGATGATTATGAAGGGATTTTTAGCTCTGTGATTGCTCATGAAGTGATACATATTTAACTGAAGTAAAACTCTTGATGTTTTGAACAGCTGTAGTTACTAATAGAAATAGATATTAAAGCTGGGTGGTGGTGCATGCCTTTAATCCCAGCACTTTCGGGAGGCAGAGAGGCAGGAGGATCTCTGAGTTTGAGGCCAGCAGCTCTGGTCTACAGAGCGAGTTCCAGGACAGGTACCAAAGGTATAAAGAGAGACCCTGTCTCAAAAAAAAAAAAAACAAAACAAACAAAAAGGAAATAGATATTAAAATATCCAAGGGATATAGAATGATAGAGCTATAAATCAGATCACTTGAATTTATATTGACTACTAGACTAAGGAAACAGGATTACCACCAGATTTACAGATTCTTGGAGAAAAATCAGGTTGCTTGTAGGAATGTATACACACACACACACACACACACACACACACACACACACACACAGAGTCTTGCTATGTAGAGACTAAGCTAACCTCAGACTTGTCATCCTCTTGCCTCTGCTTCCCAGTAATAATTATTGGGATTATAGGCATGAGCCACCAAGCCCAGCTAGTTTCCTTTGTATTTTATTTAGCAAGCTCATAGCTTCCTTATTTGGCAAGTGGTTGTCATGGAGGGTGGCTGTGAGGCACTTGAGTGAGTATGCTAAGTGCATCGTCAGAGAACAGACCCCTTAAGTATTCCTTCCTTACTCGTCCAGTCCTGCCTGTGTAAGACTTAGCTCATCTCCACAGTAACAATGGAAATGTAGAATACGGTTGCCATGTTTGTACTATCTAGTATACATTTAGGTGGTTTTAAGGTTTTGGCTTTTTTCTTTGCTTTCTGTAGATGAAGAACTTTGTATTATGACGTTTTAAAAGTATTTATCAATAAAGAAATGGTATGTGTTCTTCTGTACACATGACCTGTTTTAACAATGATTGGGGCTGTATGTAGCTCTGTAAGTAGGTGCTTCTCTATGATGTTGGAGGCCCTAAGTTTTATACACCCAGCATCAAAGAGCAGAAAAACCAGTGTGAGTGCAGTAACTAGTACCAACCTCTTCCCCAACAAACTATATTTATTTTATAGCAAATCCACAGATACTTTTACTCACTGGCATAGGAATTCAAAGCTAAGAAGCATAACAGAGCAGCTAAACAGCAAAGTTAATTATGTTACACAAAAGATAGCATCATTCCTTATAATGTCTTCTGTTATTCTCTTTTCTGCTGGATTATTTCAGTGGATTTAGTTGTTTTCTTAAGATTACTACAATCATAGATTTCTGAAATGGTATAAAAATATGTTTCAAGAAAATTGTTTGATTATATGAAAAGTATATTTAGCCTGAGTGAGTCCTTGTTTTTGTCTACCACTGGTGAGTATGTCATCTTCCCCTTAGTTCGTGAATTGGTGTTCATTTGCATAGTGTGACATCTTAGTACCTGTCTCCTTAGAGTGTAAGCTATTCTAAGATGAATCTAGTGTTTATGTCAGTTTCTGGACAGCCTAGAAAAATAATAAGACTCATGGAGGCACTAAATCTAATACATTAATAATGGTGGGTAATTGTTGAAACCCATTTTTAGAGAAGCTGTGTAGTACCAGGAATTGTTTATTTTCCCGTATTTCTGTGTTTAGCTGTGGAGTAGAGTGAGAGTTATACACCCCAGAGTTGGCAAGTAATGGGCAAGTCTTCCTTTGGCTTAGGTAAGCTGAGATCTAGTTTGCTTTAAGCAGTGAGCGATAACCACCACATTAGCACTTAGCTTCAAGTGATGGTCATCAGTTCACAGGAATCATTCATTCACCTATTAAATGCATTTTATTTCAGGAGCTTTAGACTTGAGTAAAAGAAAATCCAGAAAGACCATTATTTTAGGATAATAGTGTAAATATACAAAAGATGATAGTTCTTAGATTTGATTTTGTTAGACATGTGCTAATTTTAAGCTAAAAAAAGTAGTGACATTGAAAGATTGGTGTTTTAGATATTTAAAGATGTTCCTTTATTCTTCAAGAAAATTTTTAGGGGTCGTGTTTACTGTAGGAGAACCTTAAGCTAAACATGTTTGCCTTTTTGTAAGAAAAATGTGGGCAGAACTATTGCCAGAATGGCCAGTTCCTAACTCTGCTTTCCTTGCTGATGAGTTCTGCTAATGGGTTTCATGAGTCATTTATATATTAGGGCTTCCTTATTATTATAACATTTTTATTGTTCTAGGTTTCTTCAGAAATAGCTATTGAGTGAATGTTACTAAGCTGTTATTAATAGCTAATATGAAACAATAAAGCTTACTTTTCATTAAGAAAATATATTATACATAAAGGTGTATAATATATGTATACATACATATATGTTTGTGTATGTATACATCCAAACTACAGACATTTGGGAATGTAAATCCCCTTTTATTCTCCCTAGTAATATAACCTATGATGGAAGATTTTATTAATTGTCTCATTGCTGATATCTCCCACTTTTCTCCCAGTGAGTTCTTAGCAGAAGACAGTCAAGAGAAATTTTGGAGTTTTGTAGAAGCCAGTCAAAATATTGGATCATCAGATCATCACGGTAAAATTGAAGCAAATATTTGTTTGACTTTGTGGTCTGGGAAAATGTTAGAATAAAATGGTCTCCTTTGTATAGTATATGTAACATGGCAGTTAATAGAAAATACTATTTTCTTTAATGACTAGAGTTGTCATGGTAGGAAGATTGAACCCAGTTATGTGGGAAACCTATGCTATGCAACTGAGCTATTCCCAAACTCCTATTGACTTAGACCAATACATTTTTATTTTCCTTTTCAAGACATGTGGTCTTGCTTTGTGACCAGGCTGAGTACATATTCCTACTGCTTCAGCCTCTTGAATAATTGGGGCTGTTGGTAGACACCACAGTGTGTAGCCATAAATCATTATTTGTGTGTGTGTGTGTGCGCGCACGTGCGTGTGTGCAGTTTGTAGCTTTGACTGCAAATAATCTCTTTTTTCACATTGCTTTTGCTCTATTGTGCTCTTTTGTTAATGTGGTTTGGGACTACTTAGTGGAAGTACATTTTATTTTAGATTATTTAGCATTGACTTTATCTGATTGATTCTGTCTTCCTTTTATTGTGAACTGTTTACACAACTGACCTATTTGTGTTACATGTGGTATTATTAATTTAGTGCCACCTACTATGTTTTCCATTATTGCCTTCTGGCCATTGAATACTTGAATGTCAAGATGTCAAATTAAGATGTATATCGCTCAGTTTTAGTTTATGGATGGTGTGCTTTCTTGAACATTTTCTTAACATAAAAGATGTAATATAGGTTGTAGACATTGCTAGTCCAAGATGCTAATAGAGGAGTATAGTGATGAACTACCCAATGCTGTTCTGGTCTGGGGTGAACCACATACATGAGAGTGGTGCCATAAGATGCCACCCTGTGACCTAGTGTAGTTTATTGATATTAGTGTGTTGCTCTGAATATCCTCCCTTAGTGACATATGACTGTCATTGAGCATTAAGCTTAGACAAGTGTCAGTTCTTACTGGCATAGAAATGTTTGAAAATTATTAAGTTAAATGTAATGGGTTACTTTTAAATATTTGTTAAAATGGCATTTTAATAGTCATTTCAATCTTGTGAGCAAGCATCTATAAGTTTAGTCATGTAAGTTAGAGTGAACTAGAATTGTGTATGACAAATGATTTCACACAGCTGGAGACATGGCTCAGTGGTTAAGAGTGTATATGCTTTTCAGATGACCTGAGTTCAAGTCCCAGCTCCCATATCCAGTAGTTCACAACTGCCTGTAACTCCAGCTTCAAGGGGATCTGATACCTTTGGTTCTGAAGGTGGTCATTTGTAGGTACCAACACACAAACACATAATTAAAAATAATAAAATAAATCTTTTTTATGATTCATGTAATAAATTTATCAATATGGTTTTTAAATAAAACCTCAAGTCTTAACATTTAAAATGTAACTACAATATAAATGATACATATTCTTGGTTAATGTTACAGGGAAGTGATTATAAAACTATGTTAAATATTTTATTATTCATAGTTCTGCCATCTAAAGATTGACATATTAATTTCTGGGACCATTTGAGGTATTTCTTTCTGTTTTCCTTTTCTATATAAGATGATGCTAATGTGACGTGGAACCTTTTATATTCTGCGTTTGAAAAATGTCAACACTGGGACTAGGGAAATAAGTCAGTGGATAAAGCACCTAATGTGCAGGCAGGAGGACCAGCGTGCAGATCCCAGAACCATCTTAGCACTCAGAAGGCGGAGGAGGGGGATCCCTGGATCAAGCTGGCTGGTGGATTAGCTGCAGTTGGCAAGCTCCAGGGTCAGTGAGAGAGCTCGCCTTAACATAATGAGTAGAAAGAGATTGAGGAAGATGCTTGGTATAAATTTTGGGCCTGCACACACATGTAGTCATGCATGTTCATGTCCCCTTGACACGAATGTGTCCATACATATACATGAGCGTATACCACACTTACACATGCCAAAGTTAATATTTTTTCTATTGTAACTTTGACCATGCTGTAGTCAAAGCTAAATAAAAATTTGGGTACTCCTCCTTGTCTGTGTTCCTTGTATTTGTTTGCTTGCTTTTAAAAGCCATTTAGCATTTATTTCATAATGTTTTTTTTTTTTTTTTTTTTTTGACAAAACACTCACACACATATGCACACACATTTATATCACAGTCTTTGGCAAAAATGACCGCTTGCTATGTAACAAGTTTTCTACTTTTGCTTTTTATTTATTAGAGGACTTATTCATGCTAGCACACAGATGTCTTTTCCTTCTAAATAATTTTACCTTGCTTTTTGTTTAAATACTTATCATCAACTTTTCTGATACTATCAGTGTCCTTTAATATCTTGTTGCACTTCTTAGTGTTTTACTCCTTCAGTTATTTGAGTAGAGAGCACGGTCTAGGTTCTAAGGGTATAAAGATATACGTTCTTGCCTCTCTCTGTAGGTGTTCATAGTCAGTAAATAAGTACTTTAGTAAATGACGTGGTAGACAGATATTCTCAGATATGAGCAGGGATGTAACTGGTCCTGGGAAACATAGAGTAGAGATGAAGTCTTCCCTGAACGAGTGACTTCTAAGCTGAATTCTTCCAGGAGTAGGTCGTCCCTGCGAGTAGGAAAGTTCAGGCAAGCGGCATAGTTTAGAAGAAGGAAAGAAGTGTCTATCTGTATTGTCGACCTCCAATAATTTTAGTCACTTGACAGAAAGAAGTTTAAAATGGGAACAGTTGATCATCTGTGTTTGTTTTGCGCTTTATGAACTGTCTGTTCGTTACCTATGGTCATGCAATTGTTCTGGTTAATGTGCTTCTTTGACAGATTCTGAACATTCCTATTACAATGCGATATTGGAAGCCGCGTTTCAGTTTCTGTCACCTTTACAGCAGAATTTGTTGAAATTTTGTCTCTCTCTCCGTTCCTACTCAGCCTCAATTCAAGCCTTCCAGCAGGTAACAAAACATTGTGTCTAAAAGACAGCATTTGGTAGGGGGTGTGACATGGTGATTCAGTTGATTATAATTCTCTTGGGATTGACTTATAGTTACCACTTTCTTTGTGTGACATCTTCTGGGATTTCTGATTTATTTTTCAATAGTGAACAAAACTGATGTTTTTTTTTTTTTTTAAAGATTTTATTTATTTATTATACATGTATACAGTCTTGTTCCTGAATGCCAGCAGAGGGTACCAGATCTCATTCAAGGTGGTTGTGAGCCACCATGTGGTTGCTGGGAATTGAACTTAGGACCTCTGGAAGAACAGCCAGTGCTCTTAACCGCTGAGCCATCTCTCCAGCCCCCAAAACTGATGTTTTTAAAGCTTAAAGTCTTTAAGCCAATGATGTTTCCCTCTGTCCCTGGTTTTGGGGATGGAAAACAGACAGGGTCTTGGATGTGCTAGGCAAATAAATAAATTCTACCACTGAGCCATATCTCCTTACCAATCATAGGTATATACATTTTCATTTTTCTTGCATCGGGGTTGTATTGGGTTTGAACATTATATATTTATTTATTTTGGTTTTTCGAGACAGGGTTTCTCTGTGTAGCCCTAGCTGTCTTGTAACTTGCTCTGTAGACCAGGCTGACCTTGAACTCACAGAGATCTTCTCCCTGCCTCTGCCTTCTGAGACCTGGGATTAAATGGGTGCGCCACCACTGTCTAGCTGGATTTGAACAATTTTAAGGAATGGTTTACACTTATTTCATGTGAGAAATGAAAGTAATGTTGTCACAGGGAAAATGACAGCCGGTTGCTGTTATGCAACACGGTCTGGAAGACGTAATCTTCCTAAACCAGTGAACCTGAATCTGATTACAACCTTTGGATCTAAAAGCAGGAGATACAAGAGACAGGAAGTATCAGGCAACACTGGGGAATGTAGTCCAAAACGTCTAGGATTAGAGAAACATTTTAGTAAAGTTATCTAGGATCTTCTGTGGGTAAATGAAAGGGGAAGAAAGAGACGGGCACAGCAACACCAGGAAGAAAGTTTTCAGAAGATCACTGCAGGGAGCATCATGTGTTTATACCAACCAGACATTTGTATGAAAGAAATGTTAGCTTTAAAACCATCCGGTGTTATAAAGCAAAACAGATACAGAAAACTACTCACAACAGATGAGTCATACGATGGATTACTGTGAAGTGAGCACCACTTGTGACTTTCATCAGGCTAAAAAGTGATTTTTCACTTGCTACCTTTGAAGTCCTCCATGTGCTGTCTCTGTCATGGCCACCTTTTGTCTTCCCAAAGAAGCCATGTTGCCACTTCCTGTCAGAATCATCTCATGTAGTTTTGTTTTTAAGTTGTTTTATTGCCCAAGAATGCATTTGTACCCAATAGAATTTAATTTTGTCCTGTTTTAGAAAATTAGAAAAATTTAAAACTTTGGGAGAGGTTGATCTCTTGATTGTTTTTGTTGTTAGGTTATTTTTTGTAGCACAGGCTACCTTTGAATTCTTGATCTTCCTCTTCTAGCTTCCCAAGTGTTGGGATTATAGGTGTGTATTGCCATCCAAGCTCCTCTTTCTTTTTCTGTTGTATCCTGTGGACTGCGTCATACTTTTCATGCACTCAGTTTTGCTGATCACAATTTATGATGCAGTTTAGCTTATTCCTCTACCTCCTATCCTATAAACAGGTAGCTCGGACTAGAGGCTCAATCAGAATATCATTTCCTTCCTTAGATAAGCCTACAGGTAATGTTCTAGTCACTTACTAGGGGCCTCAAATGTCTGTTTGCTTTTCTTTTTCTCTTTTCCTCCTTTCCTCAGACTCTTCCCTCCTTCATTTCCTTTCTTCTTCTTCCCCCTGTTTCTTTTTAATTCTTAAATTATTTCCATTCTTTAGTTCCTCCCAGATCCTCCAAGTTCCCTGCTCACCCAACTTTATGTTCTCTCTCTCTTTCAAAAGCAAACAAACAGACAAAAAAGGAAAAGCAACCTACCCACTGCACAAAAAAATAGAAAATTAAAACAAACTATAAAAGAGAAATCAGTTATGACAAAATATCAAAACAAAACAAAACGCTGACAAAAGAAACTGGAATTTGTTTTATGTTGGCCCATTATTCCTGGGCATGGGACCTGCCTTGGAGTATGAATGATATAGCTAGTAATATTCCACTGGAGAAAAGTGATTTTCCCTTTCCCAGCAGCTATCAGTTTCAAGTAGATTCTTGGTTAGGGGTGGGACTTTGTGTCTACTTCCACTTCTTAGTGCTGGGATTTTGTCTGAATTTGTACAGGTCTTGTGTATGAGTTAATATGCTTATCAGTCTGGAGGATCCTGTTTCCTTAGTGTTGTCCTCACCTCTGCCTCTTCTATATAGATCCTTGAGGCTTGAGGGGAGGGGTTTGATAAAGACACCCCATTTAGAGCTGAGTGCTCTGAAGTCTCTTTCTCTGCGAATTGTCCAGTTGTGGATCTGGTTGCTAGTTATCATCTGCTGCAAGAAGGAGCTTCTGATGAGGATTGAGGGAGTGATGCCCTGCGCTATGGTTATAGCAATATGCCATGAGAAGTGATTTTATTGCTATGTTTCTTTAGTGAAGTATTAGTGGTATGTTTTCTCCTAGGCCCATGACCTATCTAGTCTCAGGTTCTCGTCACTTTAGCATTGTCTTGTATGGGTTCCGCATCATCAAGTGGGCCTTAAATCCTATCAAAAAGTGATTGTTTATTCCCATAACACTTTTCACTATTACACCAGTATGTTTTGCAGGCAGGTCTTGGATGGAGGTTGCAGGGTGTGTAGCTGGGTGAAACTGATGGTTTATTTTCTCCTCCAGCACCATGAGAACTAGTCAGGAAGGGTGAAGCTCCTAGTTTAATTCCTTCATGTTTGATGACTTAAAAAAATGTGTCTTTAGCAATAGGGCCTTACCATTAGGTCATGGAGAGTGACCAATAACCTTGGTGTGATGTTAGTGGGGTGGTTATAGGACCCCTTTGGCCAACAACTGAACAAGATGTAACCTATTCCTAGCACTGGCGGTTTTACTTGGTGGCATAAGATATCTAGTTGGCATATGTCTCGCTCATTATATGGTGACTTCACTTAAATTTCTTTGATATATGTGTTATGTTAGGAAGCTTCTACAATAGTAGGTTTCCATGTGACTTTACAAAAGACCTTTAGTATTAGTTGTCCCTCCCTGTATTGCCTCCTTTACTCTGCTCTTCCATTCCCCTCCTCATTTAATCCTTCTATTCTAGTTTCCCTTGTATCTCTTTTTAAAAAAATAATTTATTTAACTTTATTTTATATGCATTGGTGTGAAGGTGTCCTATCCCCTGGAACTGGAGTTATTGGCAATTGTGAGCATGTGGGTGCTGGGAATTGAACCTGGATCCTCTTGAAGCGCAGCTAGTGCTCTTAACTGCTGAGAATCTCTCCAGCCCTCCCCTTTATCTCTTTATAACACTATATTCTATTTCTATTTCCTCTTCAGAGATCTGCATCTCCTTGCTGGTTCTATAGTGGTTGCCTAACTTGTGTGGTTATTAGGATTGAAACATACATACCTAAAGCTTGAAAGCCAACATCCACATCAGAGAGAAAACTTGCATTGCTTGTTTGTTTGGGTCTGGGTTGCCTCACTAGGATGCTTGATTGTTTGTAGCCCCATTCATTTACCTGCAAATTTCATAATTTTATTTTTCTTAATGGCTGAATGACATTCCATTGTGCAAGTGTACTACATTTTCATTATTCAGTGATAAGTTGATGGATATCTAGTTTGATTTTAATTTCTGGCTATTATGAATAGAGCAGCAATGAGCATGTATGAGCAAGTATCTTAGTAGAATGTAGTGTCCTTTGGGTATATTCTCAGGGGTGATGTGGTTTGATCTTGAGGTAGTTTTCCAGCTTCCTGATTTTCATAGTGGCTGTACCAAGTTGCACTTCTACAAGTAAAGAACTAGTGTTCCCTTTTATCTGCATTCTCACCAGCATATGCTATCATTTGTTTTATTGATATGGCCATTATGACTAGGGTAAGATGAAATCTCAAGGTAGATTTTACTTGTATTTAATCTGATAACTAAGGATGTTGAATATTTTTAAAGAGTTTCTTGGACAAATGTGTTTCATCTTTTGACAACTGTTTAGTTCCATATCCCTCTTTTTCATTTTTTTTTTTTTTTAAACAGGGCCACATTATGTGGCTCTGGCTTCCTGGAACTTATAGTATAGACCAGCTTGGCCTTGAACTCACAGAAATCCACTTGCCTCTACCTCCTGAGTGCTAGGATTAAAGGTTTGTACCACCTTGCTGGCTTTATACACCATTTTTAAATTGGGTTATTGTTTTCTTGATGTTCAGGTTTTTTTTTAGATCTTTATACAGTCTAGATACTACCCTTTATCAGATATATACTAGACAACTAGATAAAGATTTTTTTCTCATTCTGTAGGCTGCCACTTTGCTCTGATTTGATGGTGTCCCTTATTAGTGTCTTCTTTTCCTTTTTTCTGAAGCAATAGTGAATGGTACTGTTTCTCTTGATTATGGTGGATAATCCATTTGAGGTGTTCTTGAATTCAATTGTAACTTCTTTGTTTTTCGATACAGGGTTTCTCTGTAGCTTTTGGAGCCTGTCCTGGAATTAGCTCTGTAGCCCAGGCTGGCTTTGAACTCACAGAGATCCATCTGCCTCTGCCTTCCCAATGCTGGGATTAAAGGCATTCGAAACTACAGCCTGGCTTTTCCTTAGCTTTTGAGACAGGATGTCTCTTTTAGCCCAGCCTGGCTGCAGTTTGGATGAGAATGACCTTCATATGCTCATATGTTTGAGAATTTGATCACCAGTTGGTAGAAGTGTTTGGGAAGGATTAGGGATTATGGCCTTGTTGGAGGAAGTGTGTTATTGGGAGTGAACTTTGAGGTTTCAAAGGACTCCTACCATTTTCGGTTAGTTCTGTCTACTGCTTGTGAATCA